TTATAGTATATCAATTCGCTATACAAGGCGATCCAGAAAAGTGATTAGTGAAATATTGACTTATTCTATTGCACTTAAATCTTGACTGATCTATTTAAAAATTATATATACATAAAATATAGTATAGCAAAAATTAATGCTACAAGGCACCTTTGATTGGTGTACCACGCAAATCTTCCAAGATGTATGTAGTAGGTTTCGTAATACGAACTTCAACGATTTTAAATAGTTCAGTAGTCCAATTTGGTGTATAATTCTTTTCGAAAACATGATTGGCTTTGCTTATGCTCACAATGTCACCAACGTTGAATTTTCTGGTTCCAGCAATTTTGATGTGATTGTACGTGGATTTTAGAATATCTTGTTCGTTGGCTTTGGTGACGTCACTGGGCTTGCATCTAATCGTCGTATGTTTCGTGTTATTATAATTTTTCGTGATTTCAGGCAGGACATCTATCCAACGGTATGAGCCATTCAAACTAAAGTTCTTGTATAGTTTTTTCTTCAATGTCCGTATAACACGTTCAGCAATGGCTGCCTTCATTATGGTGTACGTATGATAATGGTTGATGGAGAACTTTTTCATCGGACTTTGAAACTTTTCGTTGTAGAATTCGGTACCTTGATCGGTTTGCAAGTTCTTGGGAACTCTGGTGTTGCCAGCATGTGATAGGATATCTGCAAATGCTCGAGCAATTTCAGTACCAGTTTTTGATTTCAATGGTCGAGTCCATAGGTACTTGGAAAAACAATCAATCACAACCATTATCAGCTTATGATCCTTATTTACAGAGGCATAGGGTCGCATTTCGGCCAGATCCATTTGCCATAGGTCATCCAAGCCTTTGATGATGATGCGACGTCTCGGGAATTTCTTACGTGCAGGTCTATGTAATTCATTAACGAGTTGGATTTTTTCTTTAGAATGTAACATGTTGACAACGTGGATAATGATGTAAGAAACGATGACACAATGAGTTTATATGATTTACAAAGGAGGTTTTGTTTTTGGTGGTGGTTGTGGTGGTAGTGTCACAGTCGAAGATTTTGGAGCTACAAAATTGGTGATATCCGTTTTGATTTTAGCAATAACATCAGCGAGCTGACGTTCTTTATCATTACTCTGTTGCTGCTCAACCCTCAAATCGTGCAAACTCTTCACAGAGTTGTCAATCTTATCAACAAGTTCTAAAATATTTTTCACATTCAAGTCGATGTCGTTTTTGAGTTTTGGTAGAGAATTGTTGCGAAGCTGTTCCACATGTACGCTAGTCCTGTGTACTCTGCCAGACAACTGAACAAAGTTTGTATTGTACGATGTTAGTTTAAGATCATGTACATCCACTCTCTTCCTTTCTTCGATTATTTCGTTGCTGAAAGCAATCTTGAAATCTAACTTCATTTGCGATATAACTTCATCCACATATTTTTTGTTTGCAACATCAGCGGCATCTGTTGGCAGTTCAACGTTACACATCTTCAAATGACCAACATCGATATCACCGGTTGGAGTATGTGAAAATCCAGATCTGACTGTCACCATCTGAGCTGAGCGTGGAAACGATCTACGTCCGAATTTGTCGAGACTCATTATGCTAATGACTAAAGTATTGTACGTTATCGATAATGGTCGGCACTTTGCCTCACCAATTAGCCCCGCCACTCAGAGACATGCCATGGAACTGTCACGGAAGTGTCAAGGAAGTGTCATGGAAGTGTCACGTTACGCGGAAGTGTCAAGGAAGTATCACTAAAGTGTCACGGAAGTGTCAAGGAAGTGTCACGGAAGTGTCACGAAAGTGTCACGCAAGTGTCAAGGAAGTGTCACACATGTTTTATTATGCCTGCCTCTTCTAATTCGTTTGAGATGGCAACAATCTCGTTATCGTTTGATGTATTTCCGGCTTGCTGTGATAAAATGAGCAACTTCAATATATCTACCAATTCGTTTGGATCATCCCAATACATGTATTCGATAGGTGCTGTGTTGTATGTCAACTTCAAACCACGACCACTGGAATTGGATCCTTCTATGACCTTGGACGCGGAGGCGATTTGTTTCAAAGGTGATGTCAGTGATAGAAATATTTTGTGTAACGCTTCATCATCCTCAGACTTGCCTAATTTCAGAGCTGAATATTTCCTTCTGATAGATTTCGATATTCCGTTGATTTTTTTCTTGCGTAGCGCATCAGCAACGTCATCATGCATCTCTGTTAACGTCATCTTGATGAATGACCCAAAGATCACCGCCTTATTAACTTATCGGAACCATTTCTGTATCTGCCAGCGTTTATGTCAAAAGTTTTCGCAATCACCATCGCGCCATATTGGCAGGAGTTCCAACACTCTGAACACAACGCTTTGAATTGATCGAATGACATGTCTGGTGACACATGCTCATCAAACACATGCTTCAGATTCATTTCATCTCGTCGAAATAACACCACCAGGTTACTGTTGTCTCGCACCAGCTGCTTTGATATCTTGGAATAGGTCTGGCATAGGTATGCCACGTCAATGTCCTTGTATCTACACATTGAGAAATATTCTCGAATTTTCTGCTGCTTGTCACATGACACATCATCGAAAATGAATATCGAGTGATTCTTCGCTTCTGATGGACTAATGACTTCGTCATTCTCTTTGAAGGAGAAATAACCAACGCCTTTCACTGAATCCATCACTTGTTGTAGCAATTGATATTTCGGCTGGTACAACGACTTTGAATACACGTAAACGTTCTTGAATTTCGCGCCATTTGGATTGAACAGCAGTTTCCCATGTTTACTACCCGATGACTTGATTGACGGAATTTCATTCAAATTCTCGATGGGCAACGTCCGTTCTTGTTGAACGATCTCCATCATCTGATGAGAGTAGTAGTCGAGCTGTCTACACGTCAGTCTTCATGTTGCTTTACCACGGAGAGGGTGTGCTTAATTCTGTGATCGATAAACTTCCCATCGAATTACACATTCCAGGCTACAGATTTTGTGGTCCAGGCACCAAACTCGATAAGAAACTTGCTAGAGGAGACACCGGCATCAATCCGTTGGACGACGCGTGTCGAGAACACGATATCGCCTATTCTCCAAATTCCTGAATAGAAGAAGACACAAAGCTGATTGGATATTGGAAAATCGAGCGTGGGAGAGAGTCAAGTCGAAGAACGCTTAATTCAAAGAGAAGGCTGCTGCTTGGCTTGTCACCACCGGAATGAAGGTCAAACGGAAACTTGGCATGGGCCTTATTGTATCACAGCAATCCCTATCCAACATTATCGAATTCATAAAAAATGTACTATCAAAGTCCGCAAAGTCAGATGGTGGTGGTGGTGGTGGTGGTAATACAACATCAGGAAGTGGTCTGAATAAATCTGCATTGAAAGCACTCCATGCAGCCAGAATGGCAGTCAAGAGGGCTGGCGGTAAAAAAAGAATCAGAGTACCAAGAATCATACCTCTTCCACACAGTGGCGGTATACTATCATTGATACCAATCTTTGCTGCCTTGGGAGCCCTAGGATCTCTAGCTGGAGGAGCCGGAGCAGTCGCAAAGACGGTCATTGATGCGAAAAATGCAAAGAAGAAGCTCGAAGAAGATCAAAGACATAATAAAGCAATGGAGGCTATCGGAAAGCAAGGTTCCGGCCTATCTTTACGCAAAACATCAAGAGGATTCGGACTGTACTTGAAGAAACAATCAAAAAACTACTAGACAAGCTACCCAATAGATCACTATACGATAAAGATGTAATAAAGTATGCCAAACAGCTGAAAATACCGTATTTTCGAGGTGTTTTTATGCGGGACACTCTACCTTCCACCGGTCCATGGCATCGCGAGTGTGCTGTATTGAATTTGGATACCTCCAATCATGCGGGCACTCATTGGGTGGCTTACATAAAAAATGATAAAAAAGTCTCATATTTCGATAGTTATGGCAATCTGAAACCGCCCAGAGAATTGGCTCAATATATGGGTACCGGCACTAAAATCATGTACAATGATGAGCAATACCAAAATTTCAATCAGAGTAATTTTGGACGTCTATGTCTAGAATTCCTCTTCATTGAAACCAAGTAACACAGTCATTGTGCATCAGTCATGTCTCTGATTGTGCCGTTGAAAGGTCGTACATCTACGCTCTCCATAGACTTTTTGACACCACTTCAACTCGATCCAAACTCTGATTACGGACTAGCATTGTTGGGATTTCATTCATACAACAGTATACCAAATATCGACAGAGGATCAAAGTTTTATCTGCAAGATAAGACCAAGGCGGGAAAGATCATCGATATTCCCGAAGGTTCATACGACATTGTGGACATTGAGACATTTATACGCAAAGAATTGGGTATATCGAGTGCAAAGGACGTTGATGATATATTCTCGTTGAAGCCCAACAATAATACACTGAAGTGTGAGATTTCGAGCCAAAGGTTTGCCATCGATTTTGGCCCGAAGGATAGCATAGCTCAAGTCTTGGGATTTTCAAATAGATTGTTGAACGCACAACAAGTCCACACTTCCGATTTGCTGGTCAGCATAACCAAAGTGATAACCATTCACATTGATAGCAACGTTACTGCTGGAGCTCTCTACAACGACAGACCATCACATACGATCTACGAGTTTGCAGTTGCAGTCGATCCTGGTTACGCCATAGACGAGACTCCCAGAAATCTAATCTACCTACCTATAGTCAGCAGGCGGGAATCGCCCAACATTACACTCCAGATTCTCGACCAAGATTTCAGAGAGGTGAATTTCAGAGGTGAAGAAATCATTATAAGATTAGAGTTGAAGAAACTCGCAAGATGGTACTAGTGTTTGATTACTCCTATAAATCAGACGATCAGCCATCATCATCACCATCATCAGCATCAGTTCCCTCGACACCATACACCAAAGCAGTCGTGTCTTCGAAGAGCAGGAGCAGAAAATCATTGACATTATCCAATATCCTGTTTCTCAAATCACTCGAAGGCTACAATGTTGTCAGCCCCCGTGTTCGACGTTTTCCGCAAACCCAGATTAGATGAAAGCATCACTAAAGTGGAGTGGCGTACCTATTACCCATATGAGAAATCATTCGAAAACAATGATGTCATCAATATTACAGTCAATCAAGCAGATTCGTGGTTGGCCATGTTTGAGGGCATCATTACCATCAAGGGTAAATTGGTTGTGACCGGAGGTGGTATTGGTACATTAACTCACAATGCTGGAGCCTATCTCTTCGATTCCTGTACCTATGAATTGTGCAATAAAGAATTGGACACTGTCAGATATCCTTGAATAACGAGTACTGTGCAGGGATACTTGTGTTACACACCTGAAGACTCACGCCATCTAGCCATAGCAGGCTGGAACTATCCCAACGCTCCGATTCTCAACGCCGATAAAACGTTTAGCATGAACATTCTACTGAAACATTTGTTTTCCATCTTTAACGATCATCAAGTAGCAACGTGGGGCAAGCAGTCTAACCGTTTAGTGAGAGCTCGCAATGATGCCAACAGTGTGAAGGTTGTCGAGAGAGTGAATACTGCTTTGCCAGGATCTCCTCAGACTCAGAGCACTGCGAAAATAACGATTGAAAGCACCAATTTGAAAGTGCCGCATCTTACGCTCAACGATGACATAAAGTTGCAGTTGTTGACACGTATCAAGGCAGATGAGTCTATGATGATACCGTTTCGTCGATGGGAATTGCACGAGCTACCAGCACTCACACAAGGATCCACCATAGAAATCTGGTCGTTCAAAACGTGTTCTGCATTAGAGAGTCCCAGATAATGCCAACATCAAATCCATACGATTGGTTCTGAATAGCGACTATTATCCGCAAGAAAGAATGCTATTGGACTTTTCCAAAGACCAATATGCCGACGCTCACTTCAACTATACAGAGTTCGACAAGAGCTATCATAACTGCCAAAAAAAACGCTCTCTAGTGGATTTCAATGAATTCAAAACCCGACCAATGTTTGTTATCGATTGCTCGAGGCGCCATCTAGGCATGAAGTCGTCTACAGTTGACATTGAAGCGACGACAGGTTTCCCTCCCGACACCAAAGCCTATTGCATCATCGTTCATGACCAAATCATAGAACACCTCCCACTCAGCGAAATTGTTCGAAATATCGCCTAGTTATAGGTGTTGATGTCACACCAGTCAGACGTCAGTTTGCTCCGAAGAGTCATGGAGATCGCACTGGTTGACATTCAAGCGTTCATGATTGAGGGTGAATTCATTCCAAAGGAAATGGCTATCCGCATTGGCAAAAAGACGAGTCATTTTCTATTCAAGCCATCTGTAGAGTTTTCCTGTTTGAACAAAGAAGATTAAAAGATGGCGAATCATGTGGTTTAAAATATTCCAGTGGTTATGTGGATTTGAATGAGCTGGATCAAATACTACTAGATAACCTGCAGCAGACAAACATCATCTACGTAAGAGGCCATCAAAAGATTAAGTTTTTGCAGCGAAAATGTGCAGAGTTGGAGATGACCAATCACATTGTTAATTTGGAAGATTTTGACAATTCTTGGTGGCTGCCAATAACGTTCCTACAATCCATTCCACCCTGCATGAATCATTTTCATGGAGGAAGGTTCCAGTGCAGTCTTCACAATGTCGATACTTTATATAATTGGGTATGTAATTTATTACCAAAATAAAAAAATATATAATAATTTCAGAGTTTTTATTCATCACATCCCTTATTTCTCAGGATTCCGACAATAAAAATTGAGATTAAAATAAGTGAGCATATTAGTGAACAACAAAGTGTCAAAATTTCAATGACATTGACAGTATCTTGATCCAATTTTGCGGAGGATGTTTTTCAATGCAAGTGTCTGCCAGTCTTCCATTTCGCCGTTACTGCCATCAGAAAACGATAATTTCAATTTATAGTGGATGCTGCTTGAATTAACATGTTGCGACATGTCGAATGAATAAACAGGTAGTTTGTTATCATTGACATACATTCTACGCATCAGCTTCCAATCACACTGTTGTGTACGATTCACATCAAAACATACAGCTGCATTCCTCGTATTGTACGGTATGTTTGTGTAAAAGACGTTGTTGCTCAGAGTTGTCAATGGAATGAAGCTTGCTTTCAGTATCGCCATCTAGTAGCTGTGTTGGTTGAATTCTTCTTCTCGATGTAGGTGCAGCTGTGCGTCTCGGTTCCGTAAACACCTTGTCCAAAACACTCAAATTTTCAAAATCTTTAAACAGACAAACTTTCTGCCCATACAATTGGATGTCTGCGCTGAGTTGTCTAACCTTCAAGCCAAATTCTTCTAGTGCACGTCTGTATTCGTCAGAAGACATGATACAACTGTTTTACATCCATACTTTCAACCCACATCTTATTATATCTCTTTCCCTCTCTATCTCCCTCTCTCTCTCTCCCTTTCTCTCTTCTTTTCTTTTTTCGTCTCCCTCTCTTTCTCGTTCACATCATCCAGACAAGGGTGTGGGAAAAGAATACACAGAAAAGTCTAATAATTGTAAAAGTGTATAATGGTATAAATGTAAAAAGGCATAATAAGAATGAAAAAAATGTTTATACAATAAAATATGAATATTAGGAATAATTAGATAATACTAAAATAATTGAAAATATACATATATACAACATAAATTATTGGATGAATAAAATAAGTTACATTTTTTCATGGGAAAATCATCATATCAACAGCGTTGGTTTGGAAATTTTGATGCAAAAATACTAAACAGAAAATGAATCCGTCAAACTGTAGTCACCCCACGGAAGTGTGTCAAATGAATCGTGAATCAGTTTCCGCTTATCATCTTTGGGACTCAGACCAATTTTTGTTTGTTCGATGGAAAAAACATCGTGAGCGTAGAAACGAATCGTTTGCTGGGCTACGGTCTTTTCTTTCCAAGCCGTCAGACAATCCACATAGTCATCAAAAGTCAACTTAATTTTGACAACACATTTCTTGACACCCCTGGATTTTTTAGTAATACCGAGATTTTCCAATTCCCTATCTAGTCGTTCTTTACTGAATCTCTTTCTTCCCAATCGCTTTCTCTCTTTTTCAATATCCTCATCCATTATATCCAATTTATAACTGTACAGTGTGTTCAGTTTTCGATGCTTTTGTGTGATATCTCAGTTATCTTCCGAGATAGAACCTTGCGGTTTTCGCGGTCCTGTACAACTTTTCTGTGAAACTCGAGATGGTCAAATCAGATTTTGCATAACTGTTTGCGTTTATGAGATACAGGGCGATTTTGAAAATTTATACTCTTTGTACTCCCTCTATATCTACGAAGTTTCTTAGCGAAAATGTCAAATTGGAATCTCATCCCATACAGAATTCTGCGCAGAATCCAGTGGCGCACTCAATTTTTTTTTCTGGGTATGGTTTCGGAGATACGACTCGAACTTATGATTTTTCAAATGGAACACCCTGTATTTCATAAGCTCATTAAATTCCTTATTTTTTCCCCATCAGAATGAAATATGATGAATGTCTATAAAATCCTCAAAAATGCTCCAAAATCACTAAAACATTGAATTTTAATAGTGGGCTATGGATTTTTCATTAAAAAAGTTCCAATTGAAGAATATTTCAATTGGTTCTTCCATGAAAATGTCAAAAACAATCCCAACACTAGTTAATCAAGATAACACAAAAATTAGGTACCTGATAGCAACAAATGAATGGTTATAAAAAGTTCATATTCTAGAATAATCGCCTGATTTAATATATATATAAATTAATCAGTAGCTTATTCATTGAATTGTTAAGATTGATATCCATTTTCCCTCACACGCTTCCTCAATACGTCTTAATGCATTCAAAATCATCAAAGGATGTCTTTGTAATTCCTGGAAAACTGCCTCTGTTGTTGCACGAAGTTCTTCAAGATATTTGTGACTCTTACTGTATCAAGACGTATTGAGAAAATGTGTCAATTGTGTGTTATGGAAAATGGACATCGATTTGAACAATTCAGTGAATAAGTTATTGAATAATTCCGAAATTCAATTGTATTTGTGAATATTCAATCTGGTGCTTATTCTACATTATGAACTTTTTATTACTATTTATTTGTTCCTATCAGGTACATAATTTTTGTGTATTCTTAGTTAATTAGTGTTGGTATTGTTTTTGTCCTCTTCATGGAAAAATCAAAATGAATATTTCTTCAATTGAAACTATTTTATAAGAAAAATCCATAGCCCACAATTAAAATTCAATGTTTCAGTGATTTCAGAGCATTTTTGAAAATTTCATATACATACATTATAAATCATTTTGAAGAGAAAAAAATTAGGAATTTTATGAGCTTATAAAATACAGGGTGTTCCATTTAAAAAACCATAAGTTTGAGTCGTATCTCCAAAACCATACCCCGAAAAAGAAATGTTGAGTGCGCCACTGGATTCTGCGTAAACTTTCATATGGGTTGAGATTCAAATTTGACATTTTTGCTGACAAACTTCGTAGATATAGAGGGGGTCCAAAAATTATAAATTTTCAAAATCGCCCTGTATCTCATAAACGGAAACAGTTATGCAAAATCTGATTAGGCCATCTTGAGTTTCACAAAAAAGCGGCACACGATCGCGAGACCCGCAAGGTTCTATCTGGAAAGATAACTGAGATATCACACAAAAGCATCGAAAACTGGACACACTGTACATCTTGGACCGTAGTCCAGCAAAATGCGTGATAATCTTACCGTTTGCCTCATCCTTTAATAGGCCCGAGACTTTTTTATTTACTCGAGGTATACCATAAATATTGTCTGGAGCATAGTCAGACGTGTCAAATCTCTCGATATTTGCATCAATCACCTCACTATACGCATCGTCACATACAATTTCGTAGATGAAGCTGTCCGTATCGGTATACATGAGTTTTACGTCAGCTCCAAGCTTTGGCAACATGAAATTGTAGTGCAAATCATACATGACGATTTTTGACAAGTCGAGGATACACATGCCAATGTAGAGAGGTTAATTGAAAATCAGCTCTGCTTTCTTCAACTCTACTGCCACCAAATTGTCATCGACATTCGTTGTTGGAACCGAGGACTTGAAATTAAATTTTTAATGCCAAAGCGGCCGTCATACATTCTGACTAACTCAACTGTTCTATGATTACGAATATTCTCCATCGTCTTCCCAAACACCGCATTATTGGCCAATTTCCTCAAATCTTTTTCAAAATCGTTTGTGGCTAGAGTCCTCAATCGGGTATTCAACTGGATGTAGGGCTTTAGCCACGTGGATTGTTTGAACTTTAATACTTTATGAATCTTGGTCAATTTCAGACCGTGTTCTAATGCCTGCTTCAAATTTCGATAATGTAAAGTATATGACTTCTTATCGTACAGCGTGGTCATCAATTTGGATAATTTTGAATTTGGTGGTGTGCGGTGTTCGGGACAAAATGGTAGGTCCTCGTGTAGGTCATGCAACCCCTCAGGATACTCCAAATCAACTTGGAGAATATAGCCTTCTGGACTGTTGTCAGGAATTTGGGTTACATCAATGTCAACATTTTCTAACCATGTAAAGCCCCCATAAGGGAGGGGTTCACTCATTGCTTTTCCATAAAGGTTATTCACGTCAAGATAGAGAAGGTACTTTGACGGTTTTTTTGGATCGTAATTTTCCTGATATTTATTATTTGCTTCACTATACCTATTGCAGCAAACCGATACTCCTCCTCTTATCGCCTGCTCCACAAACATCACCATGTCGATATCTCTGATGATTTGCAGCTTGCACCCAGTATACTTGAGCATGCAGTCCCAAGTATAGCCGGGTATGGTGTAATACCAAGCAGGATCGAGGCCATAGGTCTTGAGGGATGACGCACGGAAATTTTCCATGACGTCAGCAAGAAGAAGAATATCGGTCCGCATATATAGATCGCTATATTCTCCCAGCGATTTCAGCTCGAAAGATTCCCAAACTTTTCGCGCGTGCGCGTAATCGTCGTCCAAAATATTTGTATCGTTCAATTTGTTATAGAAATTTTAGATACTTGGCAACTCGGATTCATCCAATCTTTCCACATTATCGACATAGTCATATGGGAATACTCCTTTTCGTGTTAACAATGCAAATTTCATCTCATTTACGTCACCGA